TTAAATCTGAACGTCCAAAAGTAATGAAACCGTATTGAAATTTCTGAAATAAATGAAAGTTTCGAATTGATATTTTTAACAAGGGAAATATAGAAGCAAAAAAGTTGTGAGTTAATATATTGCATAGTTATTAATTTTGCGAACTTTCCGTTCTGTGGGATGATACAGAAATAGAATTGATTATGACACGTTAGACAAACGTTACTGTTGTCATAATATTCACAATTGAGCACAAAAAGTTTTTGCTTATTCTTTTCTATGAGTTACATATATAGTTACACATACTTTTTATATTAAAATATGATTATGTAATTTTTTACGAAAGTTTTCAATTTATTGCCGATGCTACAAACTTTATGAAAAATTAGGATGCTGCTGAATATTTAAAATGACAAATTAGGGTAGTGATTAAAATTTTAAGAAATATTTTATGTGACTACTTAAAAAGGTATTTCATAAATATTTTGCATGATTACTATTTAATAAAAAGCTTTTACATTTTCAAAATATGTTTATAAAAATAATTTAACAGGATCCAAGTTCACAAGAAAATTTTCATTTAGAACAAAATTATAATTAGGTATTTTTTACACAAATTACGTCAATTGTGTCAGTAATTAAAAATGAAATTCCAAGAGTGCTATAATTTAAAAATGTTACTATATCACCTTAAAGCTTGACCAAATATGCGTACAAAATTCCAAACGCAATAATAACCCAATAATCCTTAATCTCGTAAATGACCTAAAATCGACAGTTTCATACGAGAACACACCATTAACACGATAGCTACGCAAGAGTGAAACGTTAACTGAATTACTGAACAATAATATTAAACTACCTGTGATATAATGAAAATATTGTTAAATATATCGTTGCAATAATATCGATCATTAATCTCGTTACTGTACACTAAACTTAGGTCGTCTCTCATCCCGAGACAATTTATTCGAATTTTCAAGTATTTTGTTTTTCACATTCATTACAGAGAAGTTCCAAGGCCGATAAAACGAAATAAAAGTTTGTATTCATGTTTTACGAGATTTACAGGTAAATAAATGTAACATGGTACCTTCGCGTTTGCCTGATCGTAATGGACGTGTTTCTGGGCTGCTAATTCACTGAAGAGCGATTGAACCGTACTGGCCAACATAGTTAACGCTGTTTTATTAACGAGTGTACACGCACGGTACATCAGTGCTCACATATATAGCATATACACGTACATTGCAGCTCAAAAGTATTTAACTTATGACATTTCACGTAGGCTTAAAGAGAGATAATGATGTAGGATGTCAAATAATTTCATTAACGATATCTTTAATGAGATGTATCATTTTTAACGGGACTTTTTTCTATGTATAATTCTCGCCTTTGCGTTGAATCATGGCGTAAATAATTGAATAGAAATGGTTTTAGATTTGCAACAAATTTTTAGAGTAACAGACAACGTACTTTATGTTTAAGAATATTTTATAGTTGTACTGATCCATATCACGTAACTTGTTCAATCAAATAACTCATATGTGAGATATGTGATAGTCCACACATGTATTTATTAATCAGTCATGTTATTCATATACTCGGATGCTACAGATGAATCTCAGTAAAAAATATGAACCTGACATTATATAAACAAATTGGTTTCAAACAACCTTGATATTGGAAATGAGTTTCTCATATTGGAAGTAGTTTTGTGTACCATTTTATGAAATAATGTTTGTGGAAGACAAAGCCAGATATTGGAGAAAAATTCTTCTGAAGAAAAAGGATTCCAATTACCTTAATTAATTCTTTGTTTATAAAAATACAATGGAATTAAATCCCCTTGATAGTAATTTAGTGAAAATCTGTAAGATATATTTTTCTCTCATTATTTGATTACACTCATGTATGATATCTTTTTATGCTGTGCTAGCACATGTGTTGAAATAAGAAGTAAAATAAATATTAATGATTTATGTCCTCAAAAATTGAAAGTAATTTATTATTTCAAAATTGAGAAATGATGGTTATATAGCAGCAAACATAATTCAAACCCTATTAAATAAAATTTGGAAATACTGTTTAAAATAGCAAGTACCATGATACTTTTAAACAGTAGTGTACATTACCGAAACGATGTAACACCGTTCCAACCGGATAGATAGAAACGTATGGAGACATAATTACGTCGGCTAAGTCTTGTTACTGTTACTGAACCTTTCATGCATTGTAATTATTTACAGAGTATTTTAACAGTGTGTCGTTTTCGTTAATTTATCAGAGTGGTTTAATATCATTATCGCACTGTATCATGAAATTAAGCGAATAGGACCTCAACAAGCGAAAAGATAAAACACTTTCAATATATAGAAAGGTTTATCAGAAGATACAAAATTGTTTTCTGATAGATATCATTTGTCAGTATACTTTAAAAATAGTAAGGGAAAATGAAAGTTACTACAGTCACAAATTACGAGAATAAATTTACGAAACTATGTTGAGTTTCAACATTTATTTCCATTTTGTTCTAAATTTTTTTTCGTCAGATTACTACAGGTGGGTAAAAAATTCATCTGATCAAATGTAACACCTTGTACATATATTGTTAATTAATGACCCAAGTGATGTGTTCGATGATCTGTAAATCAATTGCTCACAACTGTCAATGTATTATTACGTGCACAGACTCTTTCCACACAAACAATCGTCCGTTACGTGTTTATTCATTTTTAGTCGATGTAACATGCACGCAAAAAAGGATTTTATACTTTTTATATGAGAGAAATTGTGTAATCGTGTTATTCATAGTTCAGAAAGGTGCGTTATCCAATTTTATTTTGAAAGCTAACAATTTCGGTACCATCCGACAAAAATTTCTGAAACTTTGTACGATAGAGTGAAAAGCTTCAATACTCTCGGTTTTCAGCTTTTTTTTTTGTTAGTTTTATCGCGTGGAACTTTTAAAAAATCAGGAATGCATGAAACGAAATTTACGACATAGATTCTTTTATGGATCATTATTACAAGCAAAAATTTTTAAACAAATCTGTTCACATGTTTGCACTGAATTACATTCTGTATTTCCGATAAACATATTTTCGTGCGTTCAACGAACAATTAATGTTTTCAATATTGTAACATTCAATATTGATCCAATTATTGTTCCCATGAAATAATTTTCTAGAATGTTTTTTATGGAATGTTTTTTTCCAATATAGGACAAATTCTGTTCCAATTAACCAGTTTCCATTTTATTGAGACTGTCGCTGTAATAAAATTACAAGTTTCCATTTAAAAATGTTAAATGCCTGAAAATAAAAGGTACACAAATTTTTTCATTTTACCTTCAACTGTATCAACGATTAATTTAAAAGTAATATTCATTTAAAATATCTTCTAAAAAGTTTCCATTTACTCGAAGCAGTACATTTTAGCTAACAGCATAACAATTCAAAAGGGATGAGGTAGCTGGTACATTTTTAGGTTGCCGAGTGTGCTTAAGGTTATTTATTAACATTCGGGGCTGTGAGAAATTGGACGTACGAACGAACCGACGCGTCAGAACATATGGCCAGCGCCTGGAGCCTCAGGAAGTTGGTTATCGTGAACAAACGGATGCCACAGTGGTCTAAATCAGTGATGGACAGATCAAGTGTCGAATGAAGAGCTCATGGGCATCGACATGCACCGTTCGCGCAACGATGAGGTGTACAAGAGACGGAGTAATACCGAATCCAACTCTCCACTTCCAACGACCAGATGAATACAATACCCACAGGCTAATATCCATCGGTGTTCGGGAACGTACGCTATATTGCATTCTCGTGGTTCCGATTGTCCATCACTGATTTAAACTTGATACCATGTTTCCAACGCAAAAAAATTACAAAGTCACCACACTATGTTTATAACGAAACTTAAGTCATTACATTTTGGAAGATACATTGAGTTTTCATGTTTCTTATATTTTACAATTTTCACATCTTTCCAAAATTTCCTTTCACATTTTTTAAACTTACAGATATTTTAAAAAATTGTCTACTTTCATTTTCCCAAAGCGAAAATATTTATCTGTATTTTTTCCTCTGTTTTTTTATATAGAACCTTATCTGGTTGTACCATCAGTGACAATCATTGATTAAGACATTAAGTGAGAACTTGCACTTTCTTTGTTGCTTTCATTATTTGTGACTTCTTGGATAAATTTTGTGCAAACTGGACAATGAATAAATTAGAAATAATTATTTTCTGTTAGAAAATAAAGGAAATGTGCCTCATACTTTCAAAGTATATTTTCAGTAACCAAAAATATTTCCCCGAATAAGAATAATTTTAAAGGAACTAATTTTTCGTTGAAAACGAAATTTACTAAGTCTTGTAATGTTTCATTTCTGTAGAACACTCATGCAAAATTAACAAGCGTATAATATGCAATCATAATATGGTGGTTGAGAGCAGACGTACGACCGCAAAGGGTTAATTAGTAATTCAATACATCTCCAGCGATAAAAGCGGACCTTTACCTGTTAGGTAGCTATTATAATTGAACAAAGCGATTTAATGGTGATAAAATAAAGAATATATTAAATAAAGGCAGGACGTTACATATTCTATGTAACCATGATGAATCACAATTAACTTTATCTGAAAGTAACGAAAGTTAATTGAATTAATTTTAACAGATTTCAGTTAAATTACTCTAAATCAGATGTCTAAGTTCTTTCTGATTTTTGTATAAATATAACAAATTTTGCAGTGCAACAAGAAAATGTGATAATTCATGAAAATAATTTAATGTACTGGTTCTGACTCTGCAGGTATATCGTACAAAATAATGAAAATTATAAAACATAGAAATGAAAATTTAGCATCTACTAACTCATGCTAATTGCCATACCTAATAACTATCACATAAGGCAGTAACATGCAAACGTTCAATTTAAAAAATGTCTCAGCTTAAAAAAGAAAAATAAATTTGTGCAAACTACACTTGCCTAATAATCAATGAGAAATACCGGTTTTTATAATTTCATTATTCTCTTTAGTCCAGTAATTGATTGATTTGGGAAAGGCTTCTGAATGACATTCGAGAGTCATCTTCTGTCCCTCCTGCGCACCCACCAGCTGATTCTGGATCGAAATCATTGGACTGACTGTGAATTTATGGTAAAGATCGTTATAACTATACTCGAGAAGTAGGTGAATCATTACTTAAAAACAAATACTCACAGTGTACTATCAGCATTATTCTTTTACTGACTGTAGGAGGCACTCCATTCGACGCGATACATAGATATGCACCCATCTGTAATCTATTTACCTTCGTGATTGTGAAGATTGACCCTTCTACGCTTCTTACTGCAACAGAATTGAATTTATGCAGCGAAATTGTTTAACCATATTGTTGGAAATTTACTGTACTGAAAGAGACAAACGCTGTATTGAAAATCTGGTCTGCTAAAATAATTGAATCGAATTCCGTTCAAAAATTTCTTTTGTTCGAACAAATGAAATTACGGCAATAAAATCTCTTTGTTACTGTAATTTAAAGTTTCATGTTCTCTTCAGAAATTTTATTTCCGCACAATTAAATGTGGAGTTAATTTTTTGTGTAACAGTAACGTGTGTTCGAGAAGTAAAATGAAAAAATTTTGGTATATTTAAAATCACTGTATGTATTTTTAGTAGACTTTTCGAAATCTCACAGATTAATTTTGTGGAATATTCTGTTCTGCGGAATATTACAAATTCGAAAATACAAGCTCTTATTCATTTTATAAATTTCTATTATAGCTCTTTAACGAAGTTTTCAATCAGTTTGTATATAATATTCTTTGCTTATTTAGAGCTACATAATAAAGCGACAAAGTTTAGTTTACGGATCATTTAATTTCTTTTATTGTTATATCGTCACAGTACAGTTACTCGAAGTTAAGAACATTGCTCTTTAACATAGCAGAATTCCAAATTTCGTTTATAGACTGTTAAGAAAGTTAAAAGAAACTTCAATACTGAAGTAACAAGTAAAGTTTTCAAATTTTAACCACAAAACTTTTTGGACTCAGCTGTTGAGAGTAAAATTCGGAACGTGAATTCCAATAAGCTTGTTACAAGTTCTGATACAACTTATCAAATGATTGAACCAATACAAGAATAATAATGTTAATTACTTATAAAAATATTTTGGAATAAATTTGTAAATATTTATATCTCTCAATTTTTGATATATGTTACTTTCCTTAATAGAAAATGTCAATATTAAGACTGCTTTATTAATTACTTTAATAATAATTTTTTTTACGTTTCTCCTTTTTTTCATATTAACTTTGCATGCTTAATTATATTTATTAACTTAATAATATTTTAATTATAATTTCTATTTGATTCTTCCTTGTTCTCAGCTCGCTCTAGTTTTACATAAAACGACTCTAGCGACATCTATGTGTGAAATGGAAATATATTGACGGGTTATTCATTGTGAAGCAAATCCTTGTAGCAGAATGGTCCTAGTGACATCTAGGAATATAACCAGGAATGAAATAACAATGTAAAAATAAATCAAATTTTATAAAAGCTGAAACCTAAATGAGTCGTACTCTTGTCTTTAAAAATGATTAGCTCATTGCAACAAAATTAAATTCATTTTAAAGCAATAAATGATATTTGTAATAATTTTTATTTACAACTTCTAACCTTTTATATACCAAATTTAAAATGATTTTATAATTATACTACGATGGTAATTGTAATGTGCTAAAATAAAGTTCATTGTGCCATGATACGTACTGTTCGCATAAATATCGTTAAGATTATAATTGTGCAAATATTTTGAAAGCAGCCTGTATTTAATTAATTTCGTTAAAATTATTTGGATTGCACGTGTTTACCTGCAGCATGCTGAACTTCACCAAATCGAAAATCATTTGCGGAACAGTAGCGCTGATTTCGTAGCACAAAAACTTCGTAATAATAGCGGCTCCGAAATTAATGTTAACTAACCGAGACGCTTTTTGTTATAGCATTTCCGATATCGCGAGCACCGCTGTGTTTTTGTTAGTTCGCTTAATCTGAATAACATTCGATGTTATGAACGCATTCCTGGCGAATTGCATCGTGGACGTAATGCTTGCGGAGAATTTCTTGCTAACTGTGGCTTACCCGAAGAACCGCTGATTATATTTCGTTATGGTGCTGCAGGCCTGATTCGATCTCCGAACAAAGTTATACCAAAAAATTAGATTCTGATTGGTAAGTAATGTAAGAAATCAACGTAAAACACTCTGCCTATTTTATCATACGAAGTTTTTTTCGAGTACTTGATTTAGATTACTTTATTAGATTGTTAGATTGTTAAATTGTTATATTGTTATATTGTTATATTGTTAGATTGTTAGATTATTAGATTGTTAGATCACAACATTATTAGATTATTACATTAATAGATTATTACATTATTAGATTATTATATTTTTAGATTATGACATTATTAGATTATTACATTTTTATAAGATTGTTATTACAAATTATTAGCAATTCAGTTATGCAAATTTCTTTCAATTCAATTAAAATAATAACGTGATTTTTTATTTAGAAATTTAGCAAATTTTAATGTAGTAATTTATCACTAGATCATCTTTTCAATTTTTAATTGTAATAATTCGTTAGTTGTTTATTTTTCAATTTTTAAATTTAATAATCTGTCGCTCGGTCATTTTTTAATTCTTAATTCTAATAATTACTCCTTTGTTCATTTTTCAATTTTTTATTTTAATAATTTGTCACTTATTCACTTTTGAATTTTTAATTTTAATAACATGCCAGTCAGCTCATTTCTAAATATTTATTCTAATTTGTCACTCCCTCATTAAAAAATGTATGATTTTAATAATCTGTTACTCACTCACTTAAACATTTTTAATTTCAATAATTTGTCACTTTCTCAATTTTAAATTTTAAGTTCGAACCTGTAACTCGTTCATTTAAAAATGTTTAATTTTAATAATTAGGAAATTTGATTTTATTAAAAGTATTTGAAAAATTGTTGATTTCGATAAGTAGAAAATTTGATTTTATTAAAAGTGTATGAAAAATTGTAATAATAGTGAGAATGATCATCACGTACTACCTCATTAAATCGTCGTTACAGATTAAATTTCATAAAACTGGAAATCCTGCAAATGATGTAAAATACAGATTATAAGTAATTTGCTACTTGTAAGTTAACATCGATTACAGAGATCTCGGAAAGTTTAATGATCAAGAACTTGGAGCAGTTTCCAATGTAATTTGTCACGTTGAATCCAAATTCTACCTTAGAATCTCCAATCACGTGAAATCTTGGAGATAGTTACACTTGAATAAGTCGAAAAATACAGTCTAGACCATTTTCATGTAAATTTTCCCCACGTATTTTCACCGTCGGATACGAACAATTTGAATAAATCATATCAATAGTTAATTTCGATATTTTTCAACGACCAATCAAAACTAACTTTCATTTTATATTAATATAAAAATAAAAGATATAGCATTGACGTAGAATAAATAAAATTGTACGACTCGTTGGGGAATTTGAGCTTTTAATGGAGTCATCAGTGGTTAAAGTAATAACCGCACATAGAGTACAGTCAGTCAATATGTGTAAATTTCACAGTGGAAAACTAAAGGGCTGTGGTTTCCGGTTACGATTGATCGAATTGCGGTTGTTTAGTTAAACGTTAAATTTTTACTCGATACACCCTTTAACTCATCAATAATATTAGTATGAACTTGAACGATTAATTAGGAAACTTGGGTAATTTTGCAAATTAATTAATGGAACTTTGCGGTTTTATAGAGTTTGTTAAACTTGGTGCTCCAGTTTAGAACAAATTAATTGAATTTAGTCACTCCTTGCATCAAATTATATTTACAAATATTATTTACATTAAAGTATCTTACATTTATGCTCCAGACTGTGCTATAAAAATATTTTTAAAAATTTACTGAAAGATAAAAAACTACTTCTTCAACTATTAATATCGAAATGAAAGTAATATGTGTTATTATGCAAATAAAATTAATTTTTCTTAGCGTGAATCAATTTCTATTAATATCAAAGTAAAAAAAAATGAGCGATCCCTAACATACAGAAATTATCGTAGAAGAAGTTAGCACTTTAGTTTCCAGTGGATAGTACAATCGTTAAATTCTATCAGATTTATTTATGAAGCGATTAATTTTCTGAATCGCGATGTTACGATAGAACAAAAAGACGTTAAACCGCAGCTATATTTTTCTTGTCTTATACTAGATAGCTTTCGACATAGAAACAGATACGAGCAAAAGACAAAAGAATGATAAATCGTTATCGGGACTCGCACATAGTCTTCGTTTGTCGAATATTACTCGACGTTATTGTGTGAAACGCAGAACGCGTATTTCATTCTGACATCGTTGGTGTGCCAACGATACAGGTGCAACGACAGGTTTGTATACTGCTTCTGCATCACGCATGGTGCTCGTTAAATAAGTTTGAAAGCCATCGGTGATAAATTTTCATTGTTTCATCGTTGTTTGCCGTATATTTCTTTATCTTTGTATTGTATTCGTCTCAATATGCTTTTGGAAAAATTTACTTTTTCATTCGGAGCCTTTATTGATTAATGAAAAGTCTTATTCGGACTCTTGATATATTTCTAAGAATATTTCAGATATTTCACGGATAATTTATATGACAATTAAATATAAGACGTTGCGAATATATTAAGAAAAATCTATATTATCGTATTTGTATACTTCGAATAAGATTTATGTTTGAACGTTCTAGATATTTTACATACTTCTAGAAGTAAACACGTTATAGGTCATTTCCACGGAAAGCGTTTTAGCAAAATTGTTCGAAGAAACAGAAACAGTAGCTAATTTGACCAGACAGAATGGCTCGTTTGAAATGTTCGTATCTATTGTTTACTAGCTGTGAAGTTAAAGTACCAAAAATTTGAGCTAAATGTATTAGTATACTTTAGGAAACTTAGACTTTAGTCGATAATATTGTTAAAAGTATGTTAACATAGTCAAGAGTTTATGAAATATCTTAAATATAAAATATATTATATAACTGAAAAATCAGTAAAAGCAAAATAAAGTATTAAATAAAATTTACATGCAAAATTTTTCATCCAAATAATTTACTTCCCCACATCATGTTTTCTAAAGAAACCCATTGTGTCATTATGGTACCTTAACTATCATACATTATCTTGTACTCTTTCTGTACACCTTTATATTCACAGCATATTTGAAAGGTATCTGATACAATTCTCTGATAGTTTCATTTGATCACGATAAGTTGCATTCTCTATGTCAAGTACGCATTTAATGTGACGGTTTTACAAAATGTTTGTATGCAGTACGTTTCCTAAATTGCGAAACATTCGAAAGAATACACGAACACCTCCGGGGCACGGAGCCATTTTGAAAACACTAGCTGAATGTTTCAAGATCTAGAACTACCAGGCTAGCAGCTTTGAGAATAATATAAAGGAATATGACAGTGCAGTAAACAAAGCAGTTTACGAACTTTTCAAATTTTAATCTAAGAAATATGTTAGAAATTATTCATAAATTTTTGATGTCTCTTAAAAATTCTTGGACGTAAAAATGACTTTCTTATTGCGCATGTGCACGAATGACAACATACGTTCTACTTCAAATTAAATTGCCTTTGTTCCTTTTTCTTATAACAAGATTTTACGTGTTGCATTTAAGAGATAATAAAAGTATACAGAAACTGAAGTAATACAACTTTTCTGTTTAAAGAACAACCATGAAGATTATCTACTTTCCTGTCTTGAAATTATAATACTCTCGTACAACTTTTGACCTAGAGTTTTAGTGGAAATAATTTACATGAACTATAATCTCATAATATTACTCGGTATAAATATTAACTTCGAAGTGTAAATTTAACTTCATCAGGCGAACATTAAAATTCACGATAAAAATTGAATAACTTCTGAGTTAAATATATTAAAAAAAAATGAAGTGATTTATTTTTTGAGGCATTCTAAGATGTGATATTCGCGTTGTTAGTATACATACCATGGTACAAACATTAACATAGTGATAATGGAATTATGTACTGAGATACCTATTTGGAGGCACTTAGCTTTAATTCGTTGCAACCGAAGCTTTTACTTAGAGAGCTTTTGAATCACGCTCTTTGTCTTCTTGCCGGTAAATTATGAAGTTTAGTTAGCTGTCTCTTACCTTCCTGGCCATTTTGTAAGAGAATAGCTTCTCCGTCTTCTCGTCTCCAAGTAATATTTGGCTTCGGTGAACCCGTCGCAGCACAACGCAACGTAACGTTGCTTCCCTCTCTCACCACCATATCCGTGCTCGTTGAATAATCCAAAATATCAGGAGGTACTAGAATCAAAGGATTGGAAAGATTCCACGTTGCCTTTAATTCGTTCGGTTTCATAAATTAAAATATCTCTCAAATTTAGCATAAATGGGTTAATAACATTTCGATTAAGATTTAAACGAGAACAAAAAATAAATTAAAACTTGCAATAGCGCTCTTACATATTCAGTAACCTATAAAATTAAATGAAAATTCTGTGGATGAGTAAGGAGATTCGAATCAAATTTTTGACTTTTCACGTCAGCAATATTTTTCAAAACCAAATATCTATATTTTCTTACACAGATATGAGAAATTTAGGTTATAATTTTGTTCATTTCAAACTTCTTAATTCTTGTATTTAACGAAAATAAATTATGTGCCTTTTAAACGATATTTAAAGAATCTTTTATTTAATCTTATATTTTGTTATTCATTTTGTCAAATCAATTATTTGTTATATCTGTTATGTCAAATCAATGAATATTGTAGATTTGGACACAGTAGAATTCTTGTTATAGTTAGACTTGCTTTGACTACGAACACTGACGTAAGTGTCCGGTAGTTGTATAGATTAAATGGACCACAAAAGGTTAATTATATGTTAACGGTGACGTATTTTCGTGCAGGTACAAAGATAGATAACACGCCACTATTTAGCTTTCCTGTAATTTATAACTGGACTGAGAGTTCTATCGAGCTGGGACCTCGACACAGGGTACCAGAATGAATGGTTTAGACAGAAAGGTGATAGCTAACGACTCGAATTTGTGGACCTATCGAATGGCGATGGGCTATTGTAAAACAGACACAGGATGGTTCGTAGATGACTGACAATAATAAATCTCATTGTCGTTGGAAAAGTCAATGTTCCATGCTTAATTGTCGGGAAACCATATCAATTCTGAGAACTGTTTCGACCTATGCTTTTTTCACTTATCGTAGATATTTCAGTTAAAAACATAATAAAAATTGCTCAGGTTTATACCATGACATTATGCCTTTATGTCTGTTTTATCTTGAATTTTTGTTTAACAATTTCGATGTCATTTTGACAATTTTAACATATATGAAGGACTAATTGAATTTTGAGAAAATAATAAACTTTTAGAAAATTTATTTTGATCTGTTTTTACGGTTATTGTTATTTCTTTCTCAATTGTATGTGGAGATGTCGCTAGAGCCATTTTTGTTGGGAGAATTTACTTCCAACAAATAACGCGACGCATAGATGTCGCTGCAGCCATTTTGTGTAAAACTAGAGTGGTAAAATTGAACTGAAAGCAGGTTTAAACAAAACTCGTATTAACTTTAAAGTTTTGCGCTAAAAAATATAGTATGCATTAGAAATTTAGAGATATAAATTCACTGATATAAAAATTGGGAGTTATGGGGATTTGAGGATGTAGAATTTGGAAACATCGACATTCACGATTGTAGAAATTGAGAAATATGGAGATTCTGGATAGATAGATAGATTTATGAGATACAGAGTTTTGGGTACAGAAATTCGGAGGTATAGATATTTGGAATATAGCAATCGAACAGAATAAATATTGAGAATATGATTTGTGGATTGTAGAGGTTAGATACAGAAGTTCCAGAGTATAATTTGAAAATAGACACTTTGAATAGACACTAGAGATTTAGAAAATATAGAAACTGAATGATAAAAATTTATAAAATATAGAATCTTGTTCTTGCAATCCTGTATCAACTTCAATTTTTATATCCCGCGATACTCGTTGCAAAAATAAAATCCTAAATGAAGATCAATCGATCTGAATCATTCTCTTGAAAAATAATATTAAAGGTCAACCGTTTTCTTAAAAAAATAATCTGAAGGCTTTATTATTGACATCAACGTTTCATTCAAAAACCAATATAATAACATATTTCATAATGGCATACGTGTATAACTACGGTAACCAAAAAAACAGATTACTTTATATGAAAATATGAGTAAATTGATATTAAATGTTGACATTCAAAAGATTTCTAAAAAAGTGGACTTTAATGATTCGTCGAATACGCGTATGACTATCACGCCATTCAGTTACATATTGTTTTGTCACAATAGCAAACTGGTATTCAATTGTTCGCGTATCGGCAATTCCTAGAAAACCAATTTGTGCGAATAACGACCGCAAGTTGAACTGCAGTCGACAACAATTAACTGCGAAATACTGTAATATTGTTTTGAAGTGTCTGGTCGTGAGGTGAGGAAACGATAATATCTTTGATAAGAGGGTTATCATGAACAGCTTGACAGATTCCAGAGCCTGTACAGCAGGGACGAGCATTAGGGCAATCTCTTGGTGTAACATGATACATTGTAACCTAAATGAACTAAGGCAGCGACACAACATGTCACTTTAAGCTATTATCAAACTTCTACGAATAAAAAACTGTGAAATCTCTTAATCCATAATTTTGTAAATTATGTGTGAACCACACGTGACGTTTTACATGTGTGGGCCACATATGAAATTGTAAACATTTTCGAACTTTGAAATATTTTATATAGAAATTGTAAGAACGTTCAAATTTTTAAATATCTCATATAAAAATTGTAAAATTGTAAAATTTTTAAATATCATATGTAAAAATTAATAAAATCTTCCAATTTTTATACATCATACGAAAAATTAGATAATGGAACAAGATTTACAATGTAATAAATTAATCTGCTATTTTTAATTATTACTGCTAATTGTCTCATTTTGAACATTCTTATCACAAAACTTATGGCAATCAACTCATTAGATTTTCTAAAGCAATAAGGCAGGTCTTACAGCAAAAGAACCGATCCGTAAAGTAACCCATAGAATTTTTCAATGATTCCCGAATAGAACTTTTAGACTGACTGCTATTAAACCCCATTGGAAACTTGTAAGTCGAACTCGCTAAAGAGGTACCGATTAACAACAGCTTACATAAAATAGCATTTTCCGAAAGCTCGGCATGTTCAGGGCATCGTATAAAGTAGGATAACGTTGAAAACTTGGTGGATTAGAAGAAATTATTGAAGCTGAAGGAGATACAAAATAGAAAATCGATATAAAAGATTGAGAATCTTTATAAGAACGAAAGGTTGAAGAATGTACTCATTCCACCCACATAATTTTGATTCTAATATGTAATTATTTTTACTTGAAGCAAATCACATTATGTAAGAATTGATAGATCGAGTGATTGAATAAGGTGAATAAAGAAAGATATCAATTAGAAAAATTAACTGAATTTCATACTCCAGAATAAGCATGTGTCCTTAATTGTATCATTCATGCGTCTTCGTTATCAAAAGGGTTGGATGGATATTAAACTCATGTAACACTGGTTACACAACTGTACGGACTTGGTAACCGTATTGTGTAACATGGTCGGTATTTAACTGGAATTAATGTGGGAATGTGAAATATTGTGTAACATAGAGTACGGTAAACTAACCTACAACTTCCAGATAGCCAGTTTGACTCTTCATTGGATCGGTGTTTATCTGGCACATGTAAGCACCTCGATCAGATTCACGTACTTCACGTATGTGTAAGTGCCAGGTTATGCGTTCGGTGTGCGTCACTCCAATCCTGTTATTCTTCGTGATCACGTGATTAGCTATTGTCAAGATTGTTTGTGTGTCTACCCTGAGCCATGCTACCTGTAAAATAATTAGAAACAACGGATTTAATTGGTCCCCGATTAATCGGTTACAAAATTACATTTATAATGGCATGACCCAAACTTATACAATTTTACTTAAATCTAAATAAACTAAACAATTATTTTGGGAGTGTTTAATAGAAAAATTTAAGAAAATACGACAAGAACACCGTAGGTAGTTAAGATATTTTTCTTCCACAATTTTTATACTGTTTCCAAATATTGCATCTCGTATTTCCGCTTGAAATATTCTAAAATTTTATCTGCATTCTTTCGAAGTGAAAAAATATGAAATGTTCAAACTATTTATTAACAGTGATAAAACATTCAAGAGTGTTAAGCGCGTCAAACCGAAGTATATGTGCATTTGCATCACCGTGCTCGACGTATGAAAGGCAGCAGGCGAAATTTTATTTCGTTTTACTATCTTTCGGTGCATTGAAAACTGCTGTTCGAATAGTAACAATGACGCATTCGTCGCATTTAATCAAGCATCAAACAGTCGTACACACTGAGTTAACAGAGCGACAGATTCAGTGAATTATTCACGTTCTATGTAACCATGAGTCCGAATAAAATGGTCGCTATTTGAAAAGCGCCACTTCTCCCTAGTCACTGGTCCGTCGATTCCATCATAATACTGCGGTCCCTTCTACAGCAGCTGTATCACTTACAAGTATTATGATACCAGATCTTATGATACAATGGAATTCTTTCCTTTTCTTAGTCTGCAATCTAGCGAAAGGAAACTGAATTTTGGTGATTGTACAGATTCTATAAGAGCGGTTGTAAGGGGGAGAAACTATAGCACTTCTCTGACAATGCGAATAAATGGGGCGGAAAATTTTTGTTTGATCTGATGTGTCTTATCTTTTTATGGGATTCGCAGATCTATAATCGCACAATGCGTAGATTTAAAACATTTATACATTAATGTACATTACACTTCTACAATTTACTACATTAATATACTTTATAATTCTATAATTTATTACATTAATATATTTTATAATTATATAATTTAATACATTAATATGTGTTATAATTCTATGATTTAATACATTAATAATCACTTCTGTATGTATTATCTAAACCGTCAGTATATTTTTAGCATTTAATATTTTGTGATGATTCAAACTTTGTTTTTATTATTTTGAAAAAATGAAGAATTTTGTAAAACTTTGCGTTGAGTTGCCATTTCCAGAATTTTTGTTTAAATGAATTATTCCGAAGGGAAATAAAATTAAGGGTAAAAATTGTCTACACATTTTTGAAAAGCAATTTTCTAAAAATATAAACCATACGTTTTTAAAAGCAACCGCTCCTGAAGTATACCTTCGGAAATATTTTTCGATCTCAATTTAATAGACTATTTTCGTGTTTTCTGTGCGTGCGATAGCCATAAAAAAGGTACGTGAAAATATTTTTTCCGGGTCTATATCATAAAATTCGCTGGTGCTCCTTGCGAGTGATCAGCAAATATTGAAATAAAAAATTTCCTAAGGAGAAATTTTATTCGACATTTTCCCTGCAAGTACGCAACATATAAACATTTTTAAGAATATTGAAATACTCTTGTGTCTTCGCGATAAAATATTTTCGCGAATAATTCTTTTCAGCAAAATGAAACGTTCGAAAATTTAATAGTACGATCAGGCAATTAGTTTTTATAATATTTAGATTAATTCTGTTCTTTCATAACGTTCAATTTTTTATCTCTACAGCAAATTAAGAATAATATATTGTAAAGGTGAGATCGGAAAATGAAATAACGTTTGATTCTAGTGGCTCTAAAGTAGGTCACATCGGTTATACTACAAGGTGGATAACGGGAGATCGTTTGGTCTGATGGTCTGCAGACTTTTATTATAGTACGTTCGTATTTTACGAGGATTATGATAGCTACGTGGAATGTAGCTGACATTGGCAACATAAAGAAATGTGTTCTGAATGTTGGCAAGCTACGAATATGTGGTTAGTTATTAGAAGCTTGTAGTACTGCTTCGTTCTTGCTCATTTTGGATTTTCGGAAATCAACAGGAAATATTAACAGTAACAAATATTAAAATTATAATTCAGATGTTTCTTTCAAAAAATCGTTCTACTTGAGATCGTATAAAAGGACTGAAATGTTTCAATAATATTGAACAAGAATATTTTAATAGAGAAAGAGTTGAACACGAACACTACATTTCTTAAATTGCAAAAATTATTTTCTGTTCATTTTCAACATTTCAGCGAGGGTGGAAAGATATGTACTTAGGTATGTAACCAAAATGACATTTTCTACATGTTTTTAGTATGTGATGTACGTAAAAAAAATTCAAAAAATTTGTTGTATAATTTGTTCAAATATCTGACACTTATACAAATTAAAAAATATAAATGTAAAAACATTTCAGTTTATTTTAAAAAGTTTCTAATTCATATCAGACTTGCAGTCAATTTCTGTGTCTTTAATCACAGTTAATAAGACACTCAATTACTGGACATAGTGAAATAAAATAAATGTATAACTTTGTAAAAGAACCGCAATAATAAAAGTTTGAAATAAATCTCCAGTGAAATTTTCCAACAGATTTGTTCAGATTTGAACAAATTTTTGCTAACCGATTTTCTGGAAAACTGCTAAACTTCCACATGCGTCCAATTTTTGACCGATAACCTGCAATGGTGGTTCAAATAAAAAAATCAATCGATAGACGTGTGGCTATTAAATTTTCAAATTCGATATACTCCGAAATGAAGATCCGTGATTTTACTGTATATTTTTGATTGCTTTCGCACACGAATCAGTTTTATTATACCGTGTCTTTTTCAACGATTTCGGTTGAATTGTATTCTTTAATCTTCTAATTAAAATTTACTCATTGGTGATTCAGTTGTTCCAGCGTAGAGAATTGGATACTTATCGAAAATTCAATAGAAACTTTATTGAAATTTAGTTCACAATTATCCGTTCATTCAATGCGCGGGCTTCATACCGTAACATTCTCTGCAGATTACATGATTGCTGCTTCGTCTGCTTATTCTCTTTTGCAGCCGATGACAAAGAACCTTAATTCTTTGAGCTTCGTTTTTCACTGTTACACTCATGAGTGACACGTAACTTATCACGGTCTTCTACAAAGAAGAGTCGGATGTGTTGGTGATAATGAAAATGTATTGCTAGCACGAGTATTATTTCCTTGCTAGGTTTCGATTTCTTAATTTCTTAAAACTATTTTTCTTCGACCCTTAACGGTCACACTTCATGTAAATATAATAATTAGCTCCAAAATATCATTCATGATATTAATGCAATAATTCATAAACTGGTGGATGTAGTTTATAAATAATAAACTTGTAAAGTATAATAATCAATAATTACATTTATGAATACACTCATTATATATAACATTTATTATTTGTTAAATTAACAAATCGTATATTTTATTTATAAACCTAAACATACAGTTCTTGATGTAATTAACAATGTTTGTAATATTTCATATGGTTCTGTGACAAAATATTATTCGCGACAATACTTTTTGCTTTCACTGTACTTTATATACGACAAAAGAGTTAGACACTATTTAGAAAGGAAAGACCTTCTCGTTTGTATAAATCCAAATAGAAATATAGTTGGTATATTAAACTCTTTATGTTGTTCTCTACAGTTCATATTTACAATTCTTTAAAAATAAAGTTTAATATAGTAATATTTTCAATTTAATTATTCACCGCTATTTTGTTGAGTACTTTTTCAAAAATTGTTACGAACCTCATTTTATAAAATATGATAGAATATTTTAAATAGCAAATACGAACCATAGTTTGTATTGTATATACATATAATATATATATAGTATTCAATAATAAATATGATGAATATTTTTTATCATTACTCTATAAAATGTATGTCAATGTGTGTATTATTCAGTTTGTGTATTTATACAAAGTATGTGAATTTGTTTATTAGTATTCTATAAAACGTTGTAAGTTTTATTATTATTACCTAATAAAACGAATATGAGTTTTTTTACCATTGCTTTTTAAAAGCACAATAATGGTCAGGAAACTGATATACATTTTATAGATACGGGAATAATCCCGGAGCAAATGTCAGCACTTCACAGGATACGTGCTGTTGAATATTAATTAAAAAATCCTGCCCCTCGTAAAATAAACTGAATTCGATAAAATGTCATGTGCCTTCCGTAAACAGTATTGGTACAAAAAGACCGCTAGAAAGATGTTGACCTCAAAATGAAACTTTCAAGAACAAATTTTCATTCCTTCCGTAAGCTTCGGGTTCAGCTGGCGCAGTTTCAGCAAAATAATAACGTAACATTTCACTTAAAAGCGATCGACTTTTCGATTTGTGCCGGGATTCTTTGAAAGTTATCGCGACTGATATCACGGTAAAGATTGAATTTTCTTGCAGAACGTTTGAACTTGAATCACATACGTACATTGCAAAATAACGAGTACGTAAAAGTTTCCGATTGTAAATTCTGGGAATTCACGAAATCGTATCGATTTTAATATAGAAGCTGGTAACATAATTTGTAACGCTCCTTACAATTTTAACATAATATATTTTCAATAATTTAATATTTTAGTAGGTAGGTTTATTTAATAGTAAGCTATACTAATTTTTATATTCACCATTCCGCGTTAAATCGATCACTTTTGGACCTCACCATCTGCGATTTTGCTTTAATCAAAATAATCGTAAGAATTACGTATTAAATTTTCTTGTCAAATACATACATATGTAATTTTTAACAAAGTGTAATGATAAATTCAAGTGTTTAAAAGATATTCAACCAAAAAAAAAAAAATAGGAAAAATGTAACTTTAAAAATGGTAACATAACATGAACTTTAAAATGCTCTTCAAACTAACCTCTAAATATTCAATGTGCAAGAAACAACAATCTTTTTATTTGTAAAATTATCAATATATTTCAAAAGGTGAAAAACTTTGCAATACACGACTTTTTAACCGTTTTAT